CATGTGTATTCAAGCAGGCTACTCAAATGATAAGTTTTAAAGTCAAAGTAAAATACTTCTTAATGCGAATGAAAAAATGGGAATTTTGAGCCGGTACTGTCAAATTGCTTCAGGGAATTTAAGACTATAATATTTTCCAAAGAATTTACAGAGTTTCATAAAGATTGTGTTGAATTTTTAAAATATGGTTGCACAATTTTTGTATTATAATTTGTGTTTTTAATATGAACAGGGGAATCAATATGAATTTTTTTTATTACACACAATTAATTATTAATGGGATAAATAAAAAACTTGAAACTTCAAAGGCTGTTATACAAAATGAATAATAAATTTCTATAAGGAAATTAACAACAGAAAGTTACCTAAACTGATGAATACCGAATTTCATTTCACGACGCAAAATTTGTATATAGATCATATTTGTTGCCAGGGGCAGACCTACATTTATCAAGGACCGGGGCGGAAATCTCCCTGGGGCCCCCTTTGTTGGAATGATCCCTATATAAAACGTCAAAGTAAATACATAATTAATATTAAATTTAATTAAATTAAATAGTGAAAATTATATAAAAAGAAAAATGGCTTAAGACTTACGTCTAGCAACAAATAAAATTTAAAAAAAAACTTACACCTAGCAATAATACATATTTAAAAAAAAATCTGAATGGTTTCAGATTTTAACGGTCGTCCAAAGAGGTTTGTTAAGTTCTTTCACGCTCTTGTTAAGCTCGCAGTTGACCAATCTGCTTTTGCACTCACTTCTACTAACCCATTTTTTTTTGTCTTTTTAGCTTTATTATTAAGAATTATTTTCTTCGCACTTAGGACACATACAATTCAAGAACAAAATTTAAAAAAATTTAAAAGCAGCATAGCAGTATACGTTTAAAATTCAAAATGCAGCATTAAGTATTGGCATTCATTTTTTTTTTTTTTTTTTTTTTTTTTTTTTTTCAGTTTATAATATCAATGCTCAGTTTTCTTACTAAAATGGCTTTACAAAACTTTGGCTTTTTATTATTAACGTTTGTGTGTTTACTTTATTTATTAAATATCACATTCTTGGCCCTTACGCCACATAAAATTCGATTCAACAATAAAATCTCAAACTATTAAAAATAGCATATCTTTAGAATTTCCGGTAGGCATTGCGTGTTGGAGTTAAAAATATTTCATTCGGTACAGTGTTCCCATTTCTCGCTTTGAAATCTTTGAGTTTGGTAATTAAAAATTCGTTAAAGTTTCAAAAAATATGAAGCAGATAGTAAAACACGATCCAAATTCCAAATTCGAGCTTCCAGGTGTTCATATTCGGGTGGAGGACTACGTTATTCAAAATTCGATGTTTCTAGGTAACGTTGTTTTTGACAGTGCGAGAAACATACATACGTTCATAATTTAATTTCTTTAAATATAATGCAGGGCTCTAATATCTGGTGGCAACAATTTGATTCCGACTTTTATAATGAACCAACGCAAAATGCCAAAGCGAAGTTAATAGTTGGGCTAATAAATAAATAAAAAGTAAAAACGAAATAAAATCTAGTAATAAAGTACATAGTTCAAAAATAGATATATTCTGAAATCTAGTAATGAACTATTTAATTAAAATTCTTGAATCCTTTTAATCATGTTTTTTATATAGATCTTCGCAATAATGCTGCGAAGAAATCGTTCCTGAGTAGCTAACTAGTAGAATATTGCAATTATGTTTATTTATTTTTTTATTCTACTATGTCAAAGCATGCAAAAGCTATTTTAAAAAAAGGACTACGTTCGTAGAAAACATTCTCAGCAAAACTGGCTGGTATCCGCTTCGCACGTTGAAGTTACATTCGCGACGTGATATTTATATAGGATGATATCAGCTGATAGAAATATCCAGATCTATCAGGAATTATTGAGACGATTCGGGAATAATTTTCGAGAATTTAAGACAAAGCACAAAGTACCGTAGTAAAAGGTAGTAAGTTGTGGTAGGCTAGATTTATGTAATTAAAGCAAAGCCTGAAGGGCTATCTGCTTAAGGGAAGGGATGTCTTCGTGGAGGACTTCCTAAGGGAAACTGACTCGTATGGCACATTACACATGGGTAAAACCACGAAAATGCCCATGAAGCCAGCCCGTTCGCAGGATTTGAACCTCGGACCGAATTACCAGTGTTCAGTGACTTTACCACTCGGCCGTTGGTGGGCTTTGTGGTAGGCTACGTAGATGGCCTATAAAAATAGTTTGTTACATACAACATTCCCAAAACGATATTTAAAATTAGATTAATTAATTAGCTTGGGCGTAAATAAAACTAATGCTATGAAACTTTTGAGTTGAAATCTCAAACAGTTTTATATTACGATTTAAAAAGCTTCAAATAATGAAAATGGGTAAAAAATATGAGGTTTGGAATCTTGAGCGTCTTTTAAATTCACTGAATTGACGAATTCGAATCTCCCGTTCCTGATATTTGCATTAACTGCACTGGTATCATGTGTTATAATTAATTAATTTCCTTTAATTTAAAATTAAAATTTTACATACAATTTTACTAAGGCACGCCAGCGGCCGAGCGGTAAAGTCGCTGAACACTGGTAGTTCGGTCCGAGGTTCGAATCCTGCGAACGGGCTGGCTGCATGGGCGTTTTCGTGGTTTTTCCATGTGTAACGTGTATACGAGCCAGTTTCCCTTAGAAAGTCCTCCACGAAGGCATCCTTCCCCTCAGGCAGATAGCCCTCGAGGCTTTGCCATAATCACACACACACATACAATTTTACATTATTACTTAAGTTTCTACATTTTAATATAAATTTTTACATTATTACTTAATGCTCTACATTTTTATGGTTTATTTTCAAGTATTTATTTTTATTGCTAGAAAAGTTTAGTTGTTAATAAATTAACAATTGTGACGGCATTCTTTTAGGGTAGCTGATGGAAATCAGATATTAAGTTCTGCTTTAAAACGGAATATACACCAAATTCAAATGACAGTTGTTATAACAAACCCTTGAGTTCTAAAAGAGGGACATTATAACGAGGGATTGCTGTCATAAAATTCGCTTTCTTATCTATTTGGGACTTTTTGAACTGGTCATTTTATTGTATTGGTTCTTGCAACTGACAAGTCGTTATAACGAGCATCAACTTTAGTTTAAGCTATCTGTTACTAATCAATTGGTCTGGTCAGCAGAAATGTAAAAGCTATCTAGATTTTTCGTACTAAAACAATTTCTGTCGATCTATAGCAGGGCAACATACGATGCATGGATAAAGAACACTTTCTTCGCTTTGTCTTATCTGAAACAATGTTATTACCCAGTTCATTGAGCATACGATAAAAATTTTAAGTATGCTAAATGCGTAAGAAGTTATCCTATAATATACATAAAAAAAACTGACAACTAAAAGGCAGTTATATATTTGTCATAGAAATGCTAGGTTCACTTCAGTAACTTTCTTTGGGGTTACATCATTTAACCGTTTGCACATAACAAAATCCTTGAGAAAAAAAAAAAAAAAAAAAAAAAAAAAAAAAAAAAAAGAGTCTGTCAGTAGAGTTTCAGAAATGACAAATGTGGAAGGATGAATAAACGCACCAGCATTATTTTAAATGCTTCATTGATCTGAAAAAATGTAGGGAAGAAAAGTGGTGAACTCTACAAAAATTTGCTTAAACGAAGTTGAACGAATTTATAAAGCTTCAGCATTATTTTAAATTCTTTCTAGTTTGTATCAACTTTCCATCATACGTTGACACAAATTTTGAATTTAATAAAATGAATTTAATAGGAATTATTTAATTTGTAACCATCACTTTTGCATTATCCGCTATAGCTTAAATGTAATAAAGCAGAAACTCACGGCAATGACTTAGCAGTAGACTTAGATGTAACGATGTAGAAGCACTGATAACGTAATGTAGATCTACTGCATTTCATAAATGTTGATACTGTAATAAAAAGCAAACTGGGCAGTCTAGGAAGAATAAATAAACATCTTTATTTAATATAAAAAACATGTTGCCGTGCTGTCACAAACAACTTGGCACACTATTCGTGCCTATTTCAAAACGTTTACATTTTTATACCTTTGCAGTTGCAATAAAAAGAGAGTAGCAAGCAATAGTCCCAACTAGGCCGAAGTGTAGAAAGCAAGTTCAGTTATGTTCAGGATGAAATCTTAATTCAGAATGAGTTATTTTTGGTTATCAATGCATCTGATTGGATAATTAATATTGCTGTTAAATTATTATTGGCTGTTTGCATTTTAGTTCCATTTGCATTGCCAGCGTTATATAAGAGTCATATGATTGTGCGGATTATTCTCGAAATGACGTAGTGCAGTAAAAGATTACTAGAACAGAGGCGAAATAAACTATTTAAAATTTAGCATTAAGGGGCTACTGCTAATTTAAATTATAATTTATCTTTTACGTATTATTTTCAGAATGGCAATTTTATAGTTTCGTGTTTCATCTGATTTGTGGCCACACGTCTTGTATTTAAGTGCTTATTTGTTACATAGAGCTATATATCTTTTAATTGAGTGCAACGGCTTTGGAATTCTAAGCAATATTTCAATTAAGAGGTAAGGTATAGTCCATTTCGTTTCTGAGGAGTTTGTCGTCAAGTTGGCGATATTTGACGATGTCTTGCGAACTTGGCGACTTTCTAGAAGATTCGCGTAAGAACATTTCCGAAGTTCTACGACCGATTCTTCCAAAGTTTCCAGAATTCATGTTGTAGGGTATAAACTTGGGTCGGAGGGTGAATCGGGTGCGAATTAACTGTGAGACTAAGCGGTTAGCTGAACTACGAGTAAGGCTTTACCCTGAGTAATTTCACAATTTATTTCGTATGCTAAGGGAAACAATTGCTAAATACCCGAGTATTCTTGAGTTATTTCCAGTTGCTTTTGTGCTGTGCTACTTATTTTTCTTATTTGCCTAATAAAAAATAAAAAATAAAAAATGATAAATTGATAAATTGTTTCTTTTTCCTAGCTTATCTGGACTCATTATTTGAATAAATATCAACGATCCCGTAGTCGCAACAACTGGTATCAGAAGTAAGGCTTCTTTGAATGGACATAAACAGGAGGATGAACGAGCAGCTGAATGCCATAATGGAAATAATTGTTGCCAGTCAGAAAGAGGCAGCCTCAAATGCTGCTGAGATGAAGAAGCAGCACAAATAAAAGAAAGTACCTTGTCAATACTCACGTATGAAGATTATATTCGCCATCGAAGGAAAGTCATCAGTATTATGAACGAAAACGTAACCGCTGTAAGAGAAAAATTACAAATACAAGTAGTGAATGTTAGTCAAGAGATCTCTGCGCTGAACGAGAGACTGGATAAAGCGATTCTAATAGTGGAACAGGAATTTGTAGAACCATTTCCATGCATAAACAATGTACCAACTTAGCCTGCTTTGAATAATGTTCTGGTTCAGTTATCTCATCCCACAGTTAAGTTCTTGGCATATGATGAAACGTCATCATAGAACGCGTAAGACACAGTTCTAAATGCTTTCTAAGGCAAATTAGCGGGACGCTGTCACCAAAGCGTTAAATCTGGCAGCCCGTTTACGAGGACAGGCAGCGGACATAATACAGGTACTCCCAGCTGAAAAACATTCGGATCTGACTCCTTAATTAATGCGTCAGAAGTGCGATTTGAAGAACTATTTCTCAGAGATTACCACTGACTGCAACTTAAGCCTCGAAAGCAGAGAGAAAAAGAGACACTTCAAGAACCGGTAATTGACATCGAAAAGTTAACGCAGCTAATACTTCTGGATTGCGACCAAGAAATTAAAGAAACTTTGAGTCTTCAGTATTTGTAATTGTTATCAGCGGTTCTGAAATACAGAAATCACTCCGAATAGCAGACAAAGAAGAGCAAGAAATTAAAATGAGGTTTGCCCAGATGGCCAGCAAAAAGACATTAGTGCTGTAAGGTAGTGTTAACAGGGCAAAGGACAGAATACTGAAAGTGGATGGCGGAACTGACAAAAAGAATAGAGGCAATGGAAGAATCCAAGAGGAAATGGAGTAAAGATAAAAAGAAAATAAAACATTAGAAGTGTAATGGAGAATGACATATACACAAAGAGTGTCGTGCGCGTCCAGTTCAAAAGAAGAAAAATATATGTCGAAAAAACAACAGGGAAAATACATTCTTCAGATGTCTTTTGTTAACCGCGGAGATCATGTACTGTGCGTGGAAGGAGAAATCAACGGATTTTCATTTCGCATGATAGTAGAAACCAGAGTGAAAGTAACTATTCTTCGAGCGAATACACACTAGTATGCAAGACTTAAGCAACAAATTAATTTTTCAGCATATAATGATGAAAAATTTTAAAAGGGTCTTGTGCAGTCAGTACAATGAAACGCCAACTCAATTAAAAGGTGATTCATATGCAAATATCAGCACCGCGACGTCAGAGAGTATGCTAGGACACGCAAAACGCGAAAAATCAGCGGGCGTAGTGCAAGAAGGAAGGAAGGCGTATTTTCAGGCATTCTTCAAGTGAAAGTTAGATTGTATATGTAGTATGGCTACAAGAAAACATATACCTTTCCACATGGTGGAATGATAGGCAAGCTTTATGAGAATCGTAGTTTGATAACTGCCACTCAAGAGTTTCGAACTGATAAAAGTGTTGTTTCACGAGTTTGAAAAGCCTTAAATACGGCAGGTACTGCTCTTTAAGAAAGGTTGTTAGTAATCGGCCAAGGAAAACAGCGGTGACTAATGATAGATATATTACCCTGCAAGTGAAAGGAGATTGAGATCAGACAGAGGGCAATATTGTTCAGCAGTTGCGTACTGCAACCTGAAGACAAGTATTTTAGTTTACTGTGACCATACGACTTAATAATGGCGGCCTATTCGCCCGTGGTCTTCAACGCTGTTTGCTATTGACAGCAGCTCATCGGGCACCGTTTACAGTGGTCTAGGAAACACAAAGACTGGGCACTTCAATGTAGTCCTGTCACGTCATCAGTGAAATTTACCGATGACAGTCGTTTCAGTCTGACAAATGGTTCTCGGTGCCAGTTAATGATATAAAGAGAAGCATGGATACGCTTTCATCCCACTACCTTCAGGGAAAGAGAATTTTGGAGTGGTCTTGCGTTCTTGTATAGGGAAAGTATTAAGATGAACTGCGGAGCTGTACATTTTCGAAAAAGGTTCACTTGCCGGAAACTGTAGCGTGATGAATTCATCCTCCTCCACGTGTGTCTTTCCCGGATGCCATTGATCTCGATTTATTTTTACGGATGACCATGCACGACCACACAAGCTTCATAGTGTTGAGGAGGTCCTGGAAAGGGAAGATATCCACAGAATGGATTGGCCAGTGTGCTTCCTTGATTTAAATCTAATTGAACTTACTTGGAATACTTTAGGGAGACGCTTGCGGCACAATCTTACGCTCTGAAAAAAAAAACCAGAAAGCTGAAATAGACGCTCTTTGAAAAATGGTAATTCTTTTCCCAAGAACTATTAGGTAATTTGGTGTAGTATATCGATAGGCGGTGCAACACAACCATAGCAGTTAGAGGAGGTCATATGAAATACTAAGGCTATTTAGTTTGTTATTCTTCCTGTTCACCACACAGTTCTTTGTACCAAGACCATTCTGGCAATAAAGCATTTTTACATTCATTCCGTACTGTATGCGTCCTATTCATTTTTTGCTCTATAGTTTTTCTCATCCTTTAAGTACCAAATTATGCCTCAGTATGAATTTTATTCCTCCCAACTGGCATTTTGAGGAATTACGGCCCAAATCAGAAATTTGCTTAGTTTTGCACACTAGTGTATCTCGACGGTTGAAAGGTCACCTGCTATATACGGCTCCATCCTTAAATCTACAAACCTGAATAAAGAGAAAATCTCAGTGCATTGGAAAATGACTGTGCACATCAAGTTCCCATCCTACGTATATGAAGTCATAGTTTATGTAATTGATATAACCGATCCATGCATTTTCGTCTTGATTTCTGAAAAAGTATGGATTTTGTTTAGATGTTAAATCCTGAATTATGCTCCCTTAATGAAGAAATGCGATGTTTGAAGTACATGAAATTAAAAAGATCTACTATAGGATAATTGCTCATGATAAAATTACTATACTTCCAAGCATGGAATGCATCACCATCAGCGGTGCGGTAAAGAGTCACGAGAAATTGCAATTCGGGATTACTGATTTTCCGAGGGAAAGTACTTGTTTTCGTATTCTGCACCAGAATCCAAATTTCCATATTTAAGCTAGAGTGTGTATTTTAGTTCAGATTTAGTCTATTTAAGCCGAAGGCTTTTGGATCTTAGCCAGAGAGAGATAGAATTGCTGGTACTTGCGCTGCGCTGATAGATTCTGGCAGATAAGTCTAAATGTAATTATCCCGGATTTACATTATCTCACAGCCGATACTTTAAACTTATGTACCGGTAAATTATTTGAGCTAGTTTGTAGCTCAGCTATTTGGTCGCATAGTTGTAGACTACTTTATTCTATGTTTAAATTCAAGTGTCTATTATTGCTTATTTTACAACGCCTCAAGTAGTGTTTACCTGTAGTACGTGTTGTGCCTATGTTTGCTAAAAGTTCAGTTTAATAAATAGATTGTTTAAAATCTTCGCAAGTCTTTTTCATACCATTTCAGACGCAGCGACAACTAATGATTGTTTAACGCGACCCAGTCAAAAGATGGGTTACAACGTCACCTTTCTTTTGATCCGCTAACAGCGTCGGATCGGTTGTAGGTAGTGACAGTTCTTTCACCTCCGTTTCAGGCAGAGAGAAATTGGTTTTCTCCATGCCTTTCGTTTGAGACAACACTTCACCCCTTTCTATAATGAGGGGAGAAACTTCGCTTGAGGGTTCGAGTCCGCCGCTTTCAGACTCCGGACAATTTTTCACGATTTCATTCTTTGATTGACTCGGAGCTCGAGTACCTATATTCACCTTAAAGAAAAGTTTATCGTGTTGATCTTTTGCTAATTTTTCGGCGGTTCTGTTTCCTAACAGATAATGACCGGGATCCAATTCATTTCGAATGACCTCTGCTGTTGTTGTTACTTGGCCAAAAGTTCCTTCTACGAGGCTTGCTAAGGGTAAACAAATTGGGGCCTCATCAAACGGGTGTTTTACCCAAACAGTCTCGCCCGTCAGCATCGAAGGAGTGAGATATTTCTTGCATATTACGTCAATGCATGACCCAGTATCTCTCAAAACTGGAAGATCAAAACCGTTCACTTTAGCCATCGTTAGATACGGGGCTAAACCATCTTCTTCAATCTCCTGCACCTTATTTACAATAAATGGGGTTTTAAGATCCTTTTTTTACTTCCGGGCATTGAGGCCTTAAGTGTTCGGCTGAACCACAAGAATAACACTTAAGGGGTCTTCTCATGTCAAATTGACGCTCATTCTGATTCCGGAGATGTTCCTTACTCTCAGAGGCATATCTATTTTCCCCACCAAGCAGGTGATATTTTTGCGACTCCCTGGAATTCGAATGGTTTTTATTTCTCCTGTGTGACTCCAAGCTATAAACAGGAGATATCTTCTTCCGGGTTTCACCGTACGTTTTCATACTCTTCTAATATTTCTGCTCATTTATCTGGAGTCGTTATTTTCGACCCTTCGTCAATAAAGTGCTGTCACACTTCGATATTTACACGGCGCTTCATTTGGTCTGTTATCATGAGATCTTTTTAAAGTTCAAAATCGGTAACTTCCAAATCTGCAATCCATTCTTCAAAATAATTCCTTAATTCAAAGGCAAAATCTCTCCAAGTGGTTCGAGTGTTTTTCTGGAATTCTGTAAAGTTGATACGAAATTTTTCTGGACTAAGCTTAAACCTTTTAAGCAGTATCCTCTTTTCGTAATCGTAGTCATAAGACTGCTGCTCTGGTTCTCGCATAATCAGCTGAACTATGTCTGCAAAATTGTCAATAAAACCGAAACCCATTCTGATTGGTGAAGCTTTGCACGCTTTGCTTGGCGCTCAAACATGACTAGATACAAACTAATGTGATTCTCTTCAGGATCAAATTTTGGAATCATTTTTTTAGATCGTAACGGTTTTTTTAAGCCCATTTTCTTCATTCCCACCATCTACAGAGTCATTTTCGTTAGCGGCTAGTAATCTTAACTTCCATAATTCAAATTCCATTTCTTCTCTCCTAATTCTTTCCTGCCTCTCTTCTTCTTCTCTCCTAATTCTTCCCTGCTCCTTTTTTTCTTTCTCAAGCCTCGTTGAAGTGATATTTTCTAAAAGGCCTTTCACTAGTTCCTCCTCACAGGATTCATTTCCCATAATCAGCTGTCCTAAGTTCAGGGTTAACTTTTTGCCCTAACTCTTCAGCCAAAGATTTAAGATCCTCTTTTCTAACTTTTGCTAAGAATGCCATGATATGAGCAAAATTATGTTAATAACCTAACAATTTTAGCTCCCTCACACTACATCTATATAAAATGGATTTAAACAAATATCATTTTCACAAAGAGAGAGTAAAATTGAACCCTTAATTTTTTTTTCAACACATTTTTTTACAAATCTTAAACAAAAACAAGACAGTTTACACTATAATATGCACATTATGCGTTCAAATAAAAATTTGTCTACTTGAGGACATATAATATTACCTCTTAAAAGCTTTAAATTCAGTTGCGTTAAATTCAATTGCTTATGATAATACAATATACTTTCATCCTAATTTGAGGTGTATTAAAATATGCATTCAGAGGTTAATTTAAAAAAACCATATATCTACATGCTCATAACCTCATATGCTCATAACCATATATCTACATAAATATGACAACAGTTAAAATGAAAGATATTGGGGATTTCTAACCTTCCCCTTTTACTCGTTCAATATAAAAATTTTTCAATTCTTATACAAATAATGTTTTACACACCTTAACTGAAAATTCTAATATTTATAATATTCAAGACGACTTAGAAATGAATGTCAGAATGCCACCTATCCTTAGAATCTTCAAAGTTACAGTAATTTTTCTCCTTTACACATTCAATTATATAAGCTCAATTTGAGCACAAGACATTAACATTTCAGATATTAAAAAATTTATTGTTGCATGCGTATGGGTTCGTTACGAAATGAATGAACACGTCCGATGAAAAGTGAATAAAAATTTATTATTATCACAAAATGCTTAAATTTCCTTACCTATTCGTACAGTATTACACTATCTCACAGTAGTTACCTTTTAACTACTCAAACGTTCAAGAGAACTTAATACAAAATAGCTAAAAAAGCTGATCCGCGAATTCGCTACAGTCAACAAGAGCAGTTTTCTAAGCATACTCTTAAAAACAACAACAAACAAACTAAAATCACACGAACTGAGAGGTTTTCCTCCTTTTATAAGATTTTAAATCGCGCGCGAGAATTTTCTGGAACTTTCTCGAAATCAAAAAGAGATATTTATTTATTAAATGTTAAATACACGTGCTCTTGTATGTTTAATTTTCCGGCTTAGCTTTCCTTTAATAGTCATCACGCTCTACACTGCACGGGGAATAAAACAATTTAATTTATAATTGAACTAATATTAGCTATTTAGATACCAAATCCGTAACACTGCCCCCTACCCAAGGACTGCACGTCCCGGGCAGTACAACCCCTGGACAGGGAGCCAAACTTACACCTAAGGCATAAGCGCAATACTAAGCATTACATTACAATAACAAACAACATGAACAATAAATGCAATAACTAACTTTAAACAAGTCAAATACTAAATAAAAGTCAAATACTAAATACAAATCAAATACTAAATACCAATTAAATACACATTTAGAAACAAAACGGACCATAGTCTTACACTATTTACAATTATTTACACTACGTACTATGGCCATAGTAATGAGCTAACCTGTCGTAATGAACGACTTTAGGTTTAGAGTTCGAAGACTTACGGATCCGAAACACGACGTCATTCAGCCTGTTTAGGACTGTGTGCGGACCATCCCAAGGTGACTGTAATTTAGGCCTGACTTCTCTTCGTCGAATCGGGTTCCACAACCACACCTTGGCTCCTTTGTTGAATCTATGTCCAGTAGCTCTCGTGTTGTATATGATCTTCACTTTCTCCGTCGCCAAGTTGACTAGCTTTCGGGCAGAACGGTGCATCACTTCAAACCGGGCCTGGACATCTTGGACGTATTCCTCAGGCGATGAAGAAGCATCCGTATGGCGATCAAACAGGCGATCACAAGGCAGACGAAGTTCTCGACCGAAGAGCATCTGGGATGGAAAATAGGCGGTAGTCTTGTGTTTCTCTCCGACCCTAGTATGATCTCGGCAGCTTTCTGAGCAGGGTCTTCCAGACAAGATGTCGGCGTTTCCAGGTAATGATCCTTTCGGAGGATGAATAGTCATGTCCTCAGATGCTGAAAGCAATTTGTTGTTTTTAAAGTCTAAGGAAAAATTGTATTTCCTTAAAAAGTCCAATCCAAGAATGCATGAATCTGTAATATCCGCCACATAAGCCGTGTGATGGTAAGCGGCACTTCCAAACGTGATGTCCAATGTTTAACTTCTCAGCTATGTCGACCTTATCACCAGACGCAGTCTCAAGGGTAACACAGGATGGCGTCCAAATAAGTTTATCTTTAAACTGTTCAGCTAAATCTTTCCTAATGATGGTAACATTAGCTCCTGTGTCAATGATCATATTGCAAGGAACTCCATCGATATGCCCATTGATGGACAGTCCGTTACTGTTGCCATTCACTGTAGAAATCTTGAGCACTTTAAAACAAGGTTTTCCATTATCTGGCAACCTCCGTTCCTCGATATGGCCATTCATTTGTTTCTTGCGTCATTGCTGGGAAATGATCTTATTTTCCGTACCCTGGGGTGTTCTGCAATTCTTTCGTACGTGGCCTTCAGCTCCACAGTACCAGCACTTTGGTTTCTTGTTACTCCTTTTCTGTCCCATGACATTTAATTGCCTGTTTAACACGCTTCTCTTATTTTCCGTGCTTTGGGGTTTTCTGCAGTTCCTTCGTATGTGGCCTTCAATAACGCAGTTCCAGCACTTTAGGGTTGGTTTCTTCTCACCAATATTCTGTCTCAAGGCATTCACTGGTCTTGTCAAATCATCCGTTTTATTATCCGTTCCCTGGGGTGTTCTGCAATGCCGTCGTATGTGCCCTTCAGCACCACATTTCCAACACCTTAGAGCCACTTTGTTCTCACTCCTACTCCGTATCAAAGCATCGACTTGTCTGGATAAATCATCTAAACGAGCCATCAATTGATCCACTGGCTCGTGGACTCGCACAGCTCTGACTGGGTAGCGATCTCTAGGAGTAGCTTGCTGGGCTGCCTCGAACTTCACGGCGTACAACAGAGCGCTTTTATGTCCTTCACATCCGCCATTCGCAAAGCTTTCTGTATTTCAGGATCTCGGATGCCGTCGATGAAGTATTGCAGGGACATGATTTCTCTTGTTTCTGTCGGGCACTCAGCAAAGGCGTGATGTGACATCCTTTCAACATCCGTGGCGAGCTCGTGAAGTGTTTCTGTAGGCTTCTGTTAACGGGATTTTAATTGAAGCCTGTACTCTTTTAAACACTTCTCCCCAAAGCGCAGCTCC